CAGGAGCCGCGGCCTCTCCGGGGGGAGACGCAGCCCCTCGGCAGCTCTTCCGGCGCCCTACGCCCTGCCTTTTGTTTCTCTTACTTGCGTTTTAGGGCTTCGGCGGAGTTAAGAGCGTGCGCTTGGAAAGAAAGTGAAAAGTGGCGCGAATGTAACAGCTCAGCCAAAGCGTTTCCTTGGATTGTGGTCCCAAAAATGTTGACCGGACTTACCAGTCCGGATACAAACAGGTCCCGAAACACAGGCTCCCGTGAGCAGCTTGCGACACTTTCCTAAACCTCGACTGAGGCAGCCACCCCTGCTGCACAGAGGAGGGTTGATACGCGCCTCCTTGGGCAGCCCCTTGAGGGAAACGCCAGGCCAGGTCACCAGCCTGCCCGCAACTGGCGATGGCTGCGTCGGCCACCGAACAAGACACACTGGTCAGCCCCCTGCCCACCCAGAGGAATTCCCTCAGTCAAATGCTATTTCATGCTACTACGGAGGTGGATGTCCGCAGCTTTCCCAGGCAGCCACAAGAAGAGCACAAAGCAGGACACACACAGTTCCCCATAAGCGCTGCGAAGACACGAGCTAGGTCCAACTCAGCCCAGTCCCCACTTGCTCACTGCAGTCGTTTTAGATCATTTGTGAGTCACAGTCAGCAGTCAGGGGTGGAAAGGGCTGGAGCTTTTTTCCTATTCTGTGAAAATCAATAAACACAGATTTGCCAAGGCATTCTGGAATCAGCAACATCTATTTTTATACCGAGCCCTACATTTGGCCTTTCCAACCTACTTGCTTTGCTACAATGCATTCCCTTCCTTGTTCTTAAAACGATGCCGTTTCTCCGCACAAAGATTGCTTTTCGTTTTATTTTTTGATTGTTCAGGGTTGGATCCAATTCCCCAGGGTGCCAGGATGGGCTTTTTTAACACCTGAAGGGGGCTGCCCACTGCCTCGCACCTTGTCTTGGCACTTACATCTGCAGGGAGTGGGTGGTGCGGGGCTGCGCCTCGCCTCGCCTCGCCTCCTACGCCCGCTCAGTGCTGGCTGAGCTCGCGTGTAACTGTGGATTATTCTTTGCAAGTGCTGAGGAAGTGGAGAATAAGGGCAAAAATAGTTGGGATTTGATAGTGTGTGCAACATCTGACAAACTTCAGTCTCTAAAGGAAGCAGCGACTGATTTATATCTTTATTTGTCTTTATGTAATTTGGGTGTTGTCTTTATATAACTTTTCAGGCGCTCTCTCTAGCAAATGTGGTGAAGAAAGAAATGCTGGATTTTGTCCTTACCTGCTTCCCTAATAAACCCTTAGAAATAAGGTTGCACATCTAAACAGCAAGGGACAATCATAGCCAAGTTATTAGAGGAATCCCTTTCATTTTTTCAATTTGCAATATTTCTTCAGTTATGTTAACCTCCTTGACAGTATTTTTTCCTGGGAAAGGAGACACTCCACGTTCAATTCTCACTTGTATTTTCATTCCTAGAGCTCTTTGCACTTCACTGCTAATTAACTTTCAATAACTGTCGTAGGGTTACAGTCAGTCAGCATGAATCAGACAGAAAATGTAGCTTTAGGGGACTGCACTCTGTCAAAAACGATTAGAAACCTGTGCTTGATTTCCAAGGAGAACGTACTCACTCAAGCAGGATATAGCAGCTATTAGGCAGTGTTCTACCGCAGTAAAAAATCCTTAATAAGAGAGACTCGGTGTTTTTACTACAGCTCTCCTTCCCAGGTGGCTCCCAGTAATTATGCAGCGTTTTCCTTGCTTCCCATTTGTTTGTTTGACTTCCTAAATGGTGGTGGTGTTTAGGCCAAAGCTTGGGTTCTGAGCTTAAAGGCGGTATTTTTAACTGTTTGCTCACAAATATAATTCGAAATGGGGAAAGAAGGGAGAGGTCACTTATGGGTGCGGCTCATCTTGTGGAAGCTTTGTCCTTCCAGGTCTCGTAAGCTGAGGAGAGTTGAGTGAGAGTAGCTTTTGGCTGGGAGAGCCCCAGGGAAGACCGGGCTGTGGCAGGAAGCAATGCTGGCGGTAGTGGGAATGGGTCATATTCCCAGGATGCAGCATGCAGGGCTCTCAAACTCCATGCTTTTGACAAACTGCCACTTTAGTAACTGGGAAGGCAGTGGGTGAGCAGTACAGAGCCACGTCCCCACCATGCGATGCGCTTTCTTCTCAGGCTTTTGGACCCCTGGGTTATGTCACCCAATACACTCTGGCCCCTGAAACGCTTCTTAATATCATCTGCAATGCCCTCATCTAGCTGCTTAAAAGCTGACTGCAACGTTAGATGTAATCCCACACCCTCCTTTTGCTGCTGAATCCTTTTCCTTCCCCAAAGACCCCAGCCACTCACTGCTGGTGATTTATTTGGCCTGTGCAGCCAGAGAAATAGGCTACAGCTGCATAAGGCACTGATGGGGAGGTCCTCTGTGCTCCTCAAAGCCTTGCCTACCGTGAGCCCTCGTGTTGTTGGAGACAGCCCTGTCCCCTGCAGCGTCTGCAAGCCCAAGCTGGGGACAAGGCACTCAGGGTCCCAGTTCCCATCTGACAAGGTCATGCTGATTGCAACCTACGGTTTACTTTCTAGCTAGAGCTAATAGAGGCTTTTGATTTCCAGGTGTGCCATTAAAATCTCAACATGTGCTCTGGATGACTAAGGATGCTTCCTCTCCCCCCCCTCCCCCCGCCTTTGCTCTCCCTTCCTGCTCCTTACGTCAGCAGTGGGTATAATTTGTTTGCAGAGTTACAGGGTATTTTATCTTTCTTTGGCTGGCCCCAAGTGGATGGGGCTTTGTTGAAGCCACGGCATTCTTTCTTTCTTAGAGCTGGCACGTGGGCGTTGGATTGTGTCATTTGTAGGAGGTGAACGTCAAAGGAAGTAGGATCAACGGCTGGAGGAGGTTTGTAAGCCAGGTACTTAATATTTGATTTCCTGGAAAAGCAGGAAAAAATAGCAAAACAGGCAGCCTTTGTGTCTTTAATTTTCCCATGTAATCAGAATAACACAATACCTATACATGCTCAAGCAAAATTTGGTTTTGTTGTTTGTTTTTGAGGTTGATTTGGTGTTGGGTTTTTTTGCCTTGATTTATTCAGGATGGAGAACTACTGTATTTCCCTTTAAATAGTTTCACATGTTTTGGTAGGTTCTGTTGAATGTTTATTCCAGTAATACAAATAATTCGTGTTCCGAAAGTGCCCTTGCAACTAATGTGATTTATTATCAGGTACATTATGTTGTCTTTTTATTTGATGTAAAATGGTCTCTCAGAGTTAAAATTAGACAGAAGAGCCATTTGGGACTATTTTGTTCATCTCTAACTGTTTTTTCAGGAGTGCATTAGTCTGAAGTATTTCACCAGCAAAATACTGGGTTATTTTAGGGGGAGAAAAATGATCAAAAGAAAAGTAGAGCTACTTACTTTAACAGTAGTTTTATGGTAATCGCTGTTTTATTTGACATGTATAGATACTGAGCTAGATGCTGCTCTGCTAGGAATATTTCTTTCTCCTAAACTGCTCCAGGTAGTAGATGCCTTTTGCAGTCCTTGTTCAGGCTGAGCTTAAAAATTAATAGGAGAAACGATTTTTTTAAAGGTTACCTGTGCCCTATCTTATGTATAAGGCAAAAGGACCATATTTTTTCATTATGCTATTTTTTCTTAAACCTTTGCCTACTTACTCCAAGTGCAAGGCGCTTATTCTAGCTGTACTGCTTTTGAAAATCTATGTGCCGTAATGCGTTTTCCCATTGTATCACTGGTGGGGGCCAGGCATGTCCAAGACAGGTGCAGTCTGAAGGTTTTTAGATAAACCCCTCTGAGTAAAGCAGCTTTTTCCTTCTTGTATGGCTTCTAATTTTCACGGCTTTCTTGGTGTTTAACCCTACGCTCATTTTCCCATTGCTATCAGAGGGACCTGTGGGTCCGGAGGAAGGGAAGCTTGGTCGGCCGATGGTGAAGTGCTCACGGGAGGGCTTGTCTGCAACTGCTGGAAACACGGTCCCTCCCTCTGACTTCAGCAAAGTGTTCTGGTGTAAAGTCATTGATCTCATTGGTATTATTCCTGATTTACACAACAGTAAGCAGTAAATAAGTACAGCAGTAAGTTAAGTAGCAGTGGGCCTTAAATATTTATCTGGTTTATTTTTAGCATGCCCATTGCAGCTATTTATATAGTAAGGAAGCAGTGACACAAAGCTGACTGGATTCCTCCTTCGCTTTGAATCTGCAATAGAGAGGCAGTATTTTTTTTTTTTTTTTTTTTACCATGAGCTCTTATTTATTAAGTTAAATTTGCTCTGATTAATAAGTTATGGACTTCATTTTTCAAGGGCCTCTTAACCTCCACTCTTAAGCATAAGAGATCTTATTACATATCTGAAGGAGCATTGGTGCAGCCTAACAGCAGCTGTGAGATTGCCCTGTGGTTTCCTTACATGGATTTATCTGTGGGGAAAGGTCCCAAAATTGTGAGGAGGCTCCGTGGTAGAGCAAATGGTGTGAAAGGAGCCGGTACTCTTTAATAACATCTAGTACAGTGAAAAGAAAAAGCACATTTATGGTTGCTCATTTGCATACTAATAAAATCCTGGAATAAAATATATTCTCCTATGAGAGGCTTTTGCTGGATGTAGGACAGGCATTTGGGGGTACCCGTATCTATGCCAGTGTGGCAGGGAAGGCCATACTCTCTGAAAAGGCATGTGAAGAGT